GCCTATATCACAAGCAATTAATCTTTGTTTAGCTTCATTCTTATTGGAGAAATCTGGACGAAGATAGCATGCCTATGGACAGTGGAAGAAAAATATAGCTGTCTTTTATATATCTTGTTTTCAAAACTCTCTCTCATAAGAGAGCGCAGTCTATGTATATAAGTCCACGGAATGAAGTCAACATTGGTGTAGGAGAGAGCAATAAAATATTAGATGTATCCTTAATCTAATAGTCCAGTGATGAGAAAAAGCAGGGAAGAGATTATGTGATTGATGCGTTCATTTGTCAGTATAACTCATTGACATAAAAAAGAAAAAGCAGAAGAAGAAAAAGCAAAAGTATGCAAGGTATGTGCTTTCTCATCGAATGAACAAAACACAAAAAAGAGAATACCATTAATTAAGAGATGCACATTACTCCTCTGTTTCTTTCACTATGTTTCACTATATTTTATTCTCATTCTTCTGTTTCATCTGCGATCGATCCTTCCCAGAGTATCGTTTGACAAAGAAAACACATTTGACTGAGCGTATCTCAGTCCTTTAATCTCGCCGTCAGCCGTCTCATAAGAGCGCGCGCAGTCTGTCTCCTTAAGTCTATAAATAAAAGTAAAAGAAATTCTTACACATTGCAGTCGCTGCTGCAAGGATCCTCATACGTGTGGCAGCCAGACTCCGCATCCTGCGGCTCGGCCGGAGGGGCGCCGATCGGTGATGCCCCTCCGAGGATCAAGGACGACCTGCGTGGACCTCGTCTTCTCATCGCAAAGTTCCGCTCCCGCGACGGGAACCGCGGCGTTTTCTTCTTCATTTCCGACAACTCTTTCACGGAAAGCCCGTCGTCCCACACCATGTCCCGTGCGACCCTATCGAGGACGATCAGCGCGCTCAACCAGACCAATTAGGGGCTTTCGTTAAAGGTCGGGACTTGAGGCGGCAGTCAGCTGGAGAAGATTTCGCGAATTGGGCAACTTTTATCGAGCTGCGTTGATAACGGTACTGATAAGAACGCGATGATAGCGGCCGAGGAGAACGTGACGATCGCGGAGATGCCTTCGACCTTCGATATAAAACTGAAACCAAACCGAGTCAAACGGGATCACACGAGACCGCGACCGGGGACTGAGGGGCGGGGGAGGGAGAGCGGCACAGTTTGTCGAAACATACACGTGACGTGATAAATCGAGTTAAGTTAACGCGATTACAAATAGAGACGCTGTGCTGGTATTTGCGGTTAAATTTTCTCTCTCTCTCTCTCTCTCTCTCTCTCTCTCTCTTTCTCTCTCTCTCTCTCTCTCTCTCTCCCTCTTTCTCTTTTCTTTCGTACGGAAAATATCGATTCTTGGGCCACAAACGCATAAACTGGACTGGACAAAACATTCTGCGAAAAAGATTAACGTAAACGGAAAATTGTGACACTTCAGGTAGCTCCACCGCATCTTCTTCACATTCGACATAAACGAGTGTTTGTAAATTTGGCAGCAATTTTACTAGTCGATGTGTAAAGTTTGATTCTATTATGAGAAGTTTATACAGGGTTTGTCAAAAGTGTGGAAACCCTAAAATAATTTTTGTAAAAATGAAAATATCAGAAAACGGTAAAACACGTATTTTGATTTTTCAAAAAAGCTACCCTATTACATGGATACCGATCATTCCCCACCCCCTAATACGCGGGGATAAAAGGGGGTTGAAAATTTTAAATTGGACTAAGGGTCAAGTAGGGGTTCATTTGAAAGGTCTTTTCATAACAAATACACCCTTAAAATTTTAAGTTGCTACGACCCCCCATTAAAAATGGCGGCCGTTCAAATTTCGAAATTTCATGCACTTCGTATTATCCAGGAACAACCGGCTACTTAAAATCAGTTGTTGTCACTGCTACTTAAAATCAGTTGTTCTCACGGCTGCTTAAAATCAGTTCTCACAGATCTTAGGCAAATTAAAAATTAAACGTTTTAAAAATGGCTGGCGAATTGTCGGAACGTAAAAGAATCACTATCCTCATGATGCGTGGATGGGGTGATAACGAGCGGTCGTACGTTGCTGTCAATTATTTAATGAGACGTATCCGAATCGTCGAATTAATAAGTCCACTGTCTTAAAAACAATGGAACGTTTCAGAGAAACTGGTAGCGTAAACAATCGCCCTAAATCAGGGAGACCTGCCATTAACGAAGAAAAACAACTTGATGTTCTGCAGACATTTATTGAAGGTCCCAATTCTACTATTAACAGAGCCGCTCAAACTCACGATATTGTTCCCAAGTCCGTTTAGAGAATTTTAAAGAAAAATAAGTTCCATCCATACAAATTACAATATGTTCAAGAATTGCAAGACGGAGATGTGAAGCGTCGTATAGGTTTTTGTGAAAGAATGATGGCACTAATAGATGTCTGGCCCATGTTCCCTTATCAAATTGTTTTTACAGACAAGGCAACTTTCACGTTAACGGGAGAAGTTAATAATCAAAATTTTCGTTTCTGGTCAGATGAGAATCCGAATTGGGTGCGGGATACTCACACACAATACCCACAAAAAATAAATGTATGGTGTGGAATAATAGATGGCTACTTAATAGGACACTTCGACCATGATCTTTTTCGACTGACATTGTTGTAGACAATCCACTTTTCATCGCCAGTGATCATCCGCTTTAAGGGTGATTTACACGATGCTGCTTTTACTCGCTTTGAGCAAGCTACTTAAGTCGCCAACGAATTCGCTGGTGAAAACTTCTTCTAGACGCTTTATTTTTATTCGCTAACGTCTAAAATTTGGAAGACGCATTGTCTATTAGTCGCTATGACATAGTTCAACATGTCCTTTTACCGCTCGCGGCCAGCGACATTAAACTGTCTTTTTTTTGTGCGAATGCACCTTTTTCAAAAGTTCTTCAAATTTCTCGCACGTTAATCGTAATACTTTACGGTATGCAGTTGGATCCTTCAATGCCAATTCTTTGAAAAAATTATTTAATGCTCCATGAGTTAATCTTCTACCTATCCACTTACGTACCCACATTCTTTTTTTTTTATTTTGTTACTGAGCCACGAATTTCTGCTTGAAGAGCTCTTGCAAAAAAGCACGACAGCAGCTTGAACTATGTCATTCCTTGACGCCATGATCCTTTTAATTGACCGTTTCCGCAAAATTCTCCTTAAAACGCGACTAAATGCTGTTTATTAGCGTCGTGTAAATGCTCCAACGCTAGCTGGCGACTTTGTCAGTCAGAAATTCGCTCTAGGAAAGCGAGAAGCTGATGACAAAAGAAGCCAGCGTCAAGCGTCAAAAGTAGCATCGTGTAAATCACCCTTTAAAAATGGTTCGTTTTGATGACGTTTGAGCAGCAAATCACAAGCTGAAATTCGCTCCATTAAATTCTTTTCGCTCAGTTCGTGCGGCACCCAAACATCAAGCTTGTTTATCATCCTAAGCTTCCGTAAATGTCTCGAAACAGTTGATTGGTCAATGTTGAGGTTATGTCCGACCTCTGTAGTCGTCAAATGCCGGTCAGAGTCGATTAAAGCCTTGATTTAATCGACATCAGTAGCGATTGGCCGATCAGAGCGAGGAGCATCTTGGAGATTAAAATCTCCGCAACGAAATTTCACAAACCACTTCCGATACACACTTTCGCTTACGGCATTCTCTTCGTACATGGCGCATATCTTTTTGTAAGTTTGCGACGCGTTTTTGCCTTTTAGAAAATAAAAAAGCAAAATGTACCGAAAATAGACGTTTTTTCCTCCATGTTTAAAATATAATTAAACTTCGCATATGTCACGGATCTCGATGAATACTTTCTTAAAATGTCGGCACAAATTTCAGCTTTCACTTAATGTACGACACTTCATATGTTTGACACATGTGTGAGCGGAAAAACAACTTGCGAACGACATCTGTCGGAATTTCGCTACGGAATTATGCATAGACCCAATACATGGGACTTATATTTATCATATAATAGAATGAAGAAATAGAAAAATGAAAGAAAAATTATTGCGATTTATTCGAGACAATGCGTCATGTAAAATTAAGTGATCAAACGATCTCATAGAGAGATGTTCGATCATAATTATATGAAAGGTCTCATTCGAGAGATTAACGTAGTACCGTCTTTCCACACCCCGTGGTGCCACAAGCTTCAGAATGACTTTTGTTTTTCCTTGTCCCTGCTTTCCCTACTTCTGTGTTCTTCCATCAGTGCTGGGAGATCCAGAGAATTTCTGGGCGTGCACATTGAGCAAACGCTGTGGGAGCCTCAGTATCGTATTAATTTAAAGATATTTTATCGCCCGTAAGATACTATGGATTGAAAATTGCAATCGCATAAATCAGGTAATCTTGGTTATTTAAGTTGGTCCAGCTGTAATTTTCAATCTATAGTCTAATATATATCTAATATGGGCGTAAGATCCCTCATTTGAAAGAAAATATGAAGGAATTGTAGGGAGAATAGAAAGGTTTGTGAAAGAAACAGAATACTGTTCATAATTAATAATAAACATATAATTTTATTTTTTAATAACTGCAGAAAAATAATATATGAATACCAACATTTGTTGTAATAGCAAGGGAAACTGCAGAAAAACCTTACTAATATTCTTACAATAAAATTGTACAAAACAAATAAACGTTAAAAAGAATACTTATATTAATGTTGAACACAATACTTAGTACTATCATTAATGATATGTAAATGTTTAATATCACACACTTTCACTGTTATTGAACGTACCTGATGCCATGTCAACCAATCTTTAAAAATGTTCATACCTAACCACGCTGTTCTAAATTTTTGTGCTCCAACTTTCCTTTTCTCGATGCCACTGGTTGAAGGTTGGTCATCCATTTTCACAGCACTTAATATTTTATTTAACAAAAAATGGCACTAAGATTGCACTATGATATCACTGATTGCACTATCAATATTCTTACACATTACATATAAACACTAAGTAACACTTACATTACATTAATTAATGATATTAAGAAATTATAATGTTGATGTGACATAACATAAATATAAATATAACATATTTAATGTTTACTGGGTAATCTAACCCTAAACCATGCACTCGCGGAAGAAACGCGGGAAAACAATTACGGAAGACACAAATATTTTGCGCGGGTCCCTCCATGAATCCTCTATCATGCGTTTTAAACAGTCAGTCATTTGACATATATGTAGCTTACGTCACTTCAGGCATGCGCTGTAGCGTGGGAAATTCTTTGGATCTCCCAGCACTGTCTTCCATACTTCCTAACGTTTTTTGTGCTTGTAGGAGCCACAACTCAGAGTGATAATTGAAAGGGGAAAGAAATTTCTCTGGCAGGATGTCAAAAAGGAAATTGAGCGATTCGGAATTTGATGAGATAAGTGAACAGATGAAAAGATTACGTAAGAGATTGAGAAAATTCAATCGAGTAGCGACGGAAGAGGTTAGGGAACCTCCAATCGCTACTATTATCACTCAAGCACAGACGCATACAGAAGACAAAGAAAATGGTGAGTATAAACAGTAAGAATGTGCTCGTAAACGTCCGTAGCGATGAGCTTTCACTAGAGGGAGTACATATCGCACGTTTATAAGAAAAATTTCGCGGCGATGAGCCTTCGAGGGAGGACAGGTCGTACTTAAGCAAGTCAGCTGTGTGTTTTGTTGTAGATTTAGCGGCAGTTGTCACGAGTAAGGATCTTGTGGAGGAGGATGCGAGCGAAGAAAGTTCCTCGAAACCAGAAACTTCTGATTTTGACGAAGAGGTTAGGACGGCTGAAGTAGAAGATCAAAAGATTAGATTAGCCATTGAGGTTACTAAGGAAGAAATAGCAGATATGGTAATGAATCTCAGCAATGAAACTCGAGAGAGACTTTGCTTAAAAACAGAGCCAGCTCAGTCGTCAGACATGCTAGTGGCAGAATGCTAGTGGCAGAATGGATCAATTGGATGCGCAAAGATCTATATGAAGGTGAGGAAGAAGATGACAAGATACGTGAAGAGGAGGAGAATAAGTTACGGAAGGAAATTATGAGACAATTTCCTAGAAAAGGGACTATATTGTCAGAAGCTCCGAAACTTAATCCAGAAATAAGTTTATTCTTAACTGCATTAAAGGCTATACGATCCAGTTTACGTCGCAGCCTTTTCAATCTCGAATCCCAATGGCACCGTTATTTCGGCAAAATTCGTAATCTCTTGACTATGTTAGAAAGGCAATAAATAAAGGCATTAAGGGCTATTAGACCTTGTGCTCAAGAGAATCCTTTGTTTTCTCCAAGAGAAGAGTTTGTGTCTTCTTAGTTTTTAATTTTAAAAGCACACAGAACATTCAGATTTGTTTTGAATTTAAAGAAACTTAATAAATTCATATCAACGAAACACTTTAAAATGGAAGATGGACGTATAGTTGAAAAGCTAATTTCCAAGAACAATTTCTTAGCGAAATTAGATTTGGAAAACGTCTATTTTTAAATACTATTGGGGACTTGAATAAGTTCTCGCTGTTTTTTCGTGAAAATCGTGAATGCTTTATTTAAAAAAGTTAATAAAGAACATGTCATTGAAAGTATTGTCCATCACTAGCCACTTCTTTCTCCCATCTTTCTGGCAGCATACGAATGTCGAAAGAACGACTTATCTTTTGAGGTTATCCACGAGTCAACTCATTTTTTTGGCATCTTCATAAGAATGAAAGTGTTGCTCAGCCAGGCCATGATGATCACCGATTGGAACAACCCAAGGAGCGCCAATACCCGTATAACGCGCTTTTAATGCGCATACAACTGCATTGGCTTTAAAACCGCAATAATTGTGTGTTAAAAATGCGCTTAAATTAATGCGATATTTTCGCATTTGATTAATAATAGCTTTTATATAATAAATAAATAATTTTTTATTTATTTGGAGCGTGATGCATCGTCAAACCACAAATTATTTTCTGCTTACAGAAGGTCTGTTCTTTTTCGTAAAACTGATGCATACTTGCTATTTTTACACGATTCACTTACGACAAATGCTATTTACCGCCAGCATTGAACATTTACGAGTAATAAAACCAGCCAGCTACTGGAAATTAACGTAGAATAACACCAGAGAGGGGGAATAAGGATAGCATCCTATGGCACGTATTTTTCGCATAACGGTTAATCGCGTAACCAGAGGCTTTGTGTGCTTTCTCGCAGAATATCATAAGGGCCAGAGCACATTTTTGTCCTGAGGAAGGAAATAAAGAACTCTGATTGGTTGATTCTCTTATGCGTTGTGTATTATGCGTTATGCAGAAGTCTGTGCTCTGGCCCTAACACTTTTGATTGGTTATGCGGTTACGCGTTACGTGAAAAATACATTTTATGAAACGCCATCCAAATGCTGCTTTTTTCACGGCGCGCTTTACCGCCAATTTGCCGATATACTAGCAGTGAATATTCAAACGCAGCCAAAACTTGAAACCATTCAGTGAAACCAATGGCTGCCAATGATGAACACGAGTTGTCACACGAAGAGACAGAGTAATTGTGTGTGTAACTGGAAACGAAAGTGAAACGCTTGCGTATGCACGGTGGAAGCACATCACTGATCACAATTTATGGATAATTCTTTTTCGAGTAGAGCAGATATGGAGCCGAATAAAAGAAAGGTTAGAATTTAAGAGAAACAGTGCACTTGGTATTTATATTGAGAAGTGAGGTAGATAATTTGCTTCTGCAGACTAGAAAGCCACTCAAAGCAGCATCTGCGGCAACAATTAGCAAATGGATTAGGGCGGCAATGTTTCGCGGTATAAATGAAAAATTCACAGCCCACTCCACGAGACATGCGACGACTTCACGCAACACGAAAGAAAGGATTTAGAAACCATTAGGAAAATGCCGTTGGTCAAAATATTCGCAAGTTTTTGTCAGACGTTATAACAGAACTATTATTTCGTTTAAAGAATCTTTTGCAAGAACGCTTTTGCAGTGATAAAGTATAACAGTTGATTTAGCCAGTAGCCTATAGAAACGTTCAGTTTATTTCTCATTAACGAATAAAGCTGCGTATTGTTCGAAAAGGATAGAACAGGCAAATAAAAATTACTTTCTTTGAACCTCTACGTGTTAATCGCGAGAATGAGACCTGAATATAATTGAGCGATCAAACGATCTCACAGAGAGATGTTTGATCGTAATTATATGAAAGGTCTCGTTCGAGCGATTACTCCCACCTAATACAATTCGATAATTCCCAACCTCTGCATTTACAGTAACTTTTATTTAATACGCTAGTCAGTCCATCGAGCTCTAAACTACGTATATGAAGTATGGAAGAGCATAGAAGTAGAGAAAGCAAGGGCGAAAGAAAAAGTTTCTCTGAACTCTTGTAGCACCACGGGACGTAGAAGACGGTACTACGTATTAATCGCGAGAACGAGACCTGAATATAATATAATATGAAAATCTAAGAGTCTTAACGAATTTATTATTGTATATCAGTATGACAAAAATGCTACACAATGTAAATTTAATGATTAATTCAATGTAGTATACTTCACAAATGTAATTTAGAAAATTATAAAGTTAGCATCATCAATCGTCTCACGTTGTAATAATCGTGTAATAAAGTCTATTTCGAGACAAAAGATTGCAATATTTTTACCTCAAAGAATTTTAGGACACATCCAGCATCCTAAATAAGAGAAATTGATTTTCGATTACTAAAAACAAAAAACATAATATATCCCGTATTCGATAGAATTTATTTTTTGCTAATTTTCAGAAGAGATACATTTTATATATAAAATACATTATGAAACTCATCGACTGTTAAATTGTTGTGACTTTTAATCTAGTGATTGTAACAGTTCACTTTCAAAATATATCAGTTATAATAGTGCTTTTAAGGAAGTAGTGTTTTTTCAAGAATTTATATTTTCATTTTTTTTCAAGAATTTGTATTTTCATGAATTTATATGTAGAGTCCTGACTATTAGGATCACCTGATTTTTTTTGTAAACGCGATATTTTAGAGAAAAATATTTTGGACAAAAGTTGTATAGTTTTAAAAGGGACATAAAATAACTATATTATTTTGTTTCCAAATAGTACCACTTTTGAGATATTCAGTGATCATTACTTTTCTTAAATGGAAACCTGACCTTTTTGTTATATCATTTTTTTCTACCGATTAATTTTAACAACTTTCGTCTGAAACATTTTTTTATTTACCTTATTTACCTAAATATTTTTTGAAATATTTAAAGAAAACTTGGTAACTTTTTCAACATTTAACTTACGATATCTCGCTAGCTATTTACCGAAGGAAAAAATAATATTAGACCTTTTTACTCTATTTAATCTCAAGAATATATTGTTACAATAATATCCTAACTTTTGTTAACTTATCGACCTTTGGAAATTTCAAAATCATCAAATTAACAAAAGCCAGGGTGCAGTTGTAAGAATATATTCTTGAAACCAAGTAGAGTAAAAAAGTCTATCATTTTTCCTTTCGACAAATATTAGGTGTGTGAATTAATTCGATCCGTTTTTTCTTCCAAAAAAAGACTTTAGTATGAAAAAACATGAAAAAGTACATTAATCAAAGTATTTGCCATTGTTTGCTATTATTTTTTCCATCTGTCTGGTAGTTATTACACTCCGTGACGGAAAAACGACTCGTCCTTCGAAGCGATCCATTCATTGAGCCATTTCTCTATTTCTTCATAATTGTTGAAGTGCTGGCCCGAAAGCCCTTGTGCCATCGATCTGAACAAGTGATAATAATCGGATGGAGCAATGTCTGGTGAATACAGCAGGTGAGGTAAAACGCCCCAGCCAAGTACTACCAAGGTACGAGCCTCGTAGCCTTCACAATCTTTCCAACATGTGGCTGAGCGTTATCGTGCTGGAAGATCAGTTTGTCGTGTCTCTTTGCATATTTCGGCCGCTTATTCTTCAATGCGTTGTTTAAACGGATTAATTGTTGTTGGTAAAGTTCGGCAGTGATGATTTGGCTTTGTTTTAATAGTTCATGATACACTACACCCTTCTGGTCCCATCATATACAGAGCATTACTTTCTTGCCGTGAATATTCCTCTTTGGTATCGATGTGGATGGTTTTCTTGGGTTGCTAATGGATTTCCTTCGTTTGGGATTATCGAAATATATCCACTTTTCGTCTCCAGTCACAATACGATGCAAAAAACCTTTTCTTTTTTGCCTGGCAAGCGATATTTCAAACATGGATTTTCGCCTCTCGATGTTTCTTTTTTTCAGTTCGTATGGTACCCATCGTCCTTCTTTGTAAATCTTTCCCATGGCTGCCAAACGCACAGAAATTGTTAATCGACCAATATTTAACAATTGCACAATCTCATGTTGCGATTGACACGGATCTTCATCGATTAGCGCCTGCAATTCCTCGTCCTCAAACTTCTTCGGCTGACCTGAACGAGGTTTGTCATCGACACTGAAATCATCACTTTTGAAACGTCGAAACTATTCTCTGCATAATTTATCGGTGGGAGCACTTTCACCATAAGCTTCTACGAGCATTCGATGAGCTTCAGCGACTATTTTCTTCAAATGAAAACAGAAAATCAGAGATAATGCTTTCCCAGAAATAATGCTTTTTTGGCTCGAATTTCGACATTTTCGAATCAGATAAACACGATGTTATTGTTATAAACCCAAATGTTTATCAACTGAATATTATTGCGAGATATCAAAACCAAAAAATAAAATCTTTTGCAGACATTAGAGGTTAGAAAATTATATAGTACAGCAATTGACCGCCAGATGGACAGAATTAATTCCTAATAATTAATGAGATATCGTAAGTTAAATGTTGAAAAAGTTACCAAGTTTTCCTTAAATATCTCAAAAAATATTAGGCAAAGAAAACATATTTCAAAAGTTATTCAAATTAACTAGTAGAAAAAGATTATATAATAAAAAATTGGGCTTTCTATTTAAGGGAAATAATATTTAAGAAAATCTAATTAAGAAAAATGATCAATGAATATCTCAAAAGCGACGTTATCTGTAAATAAAATGATATAGTTGTTTTATATCCCCTTTGGAACTATATAACTTTTGTCTAAAACATTTTCTTCCAAAATGTTGCGTTTACAAAACAATCGGGTGTCCCGAATGGTCTGGGATACCCTATATATATGTATATGTAAATTCTATAATATTATAATGTTAATGTACGGTAAAATATATACTCCTTTGCGCAGCAGTTTGCATATATTTTTATTAAGAGCACATCGAACAATCATGATTCACCATTGATGAGTTTATGTAGTAATCAGTTATGACAGAAGTCAAAGAGGTATCCAACGCCACAAGTGTAGCACAAGGATTCACGAAAATCGTAAGTATAAAGTATCTAAATTTATACTAAATAAGAGCACGTGTGATGAAAAAGCTAATATTTACATCGTGTGCATGAAAAAAATATTGTCGATA